CTTGCCACAGGCCTCTGGCTCTCCCCTCCCAGCACTCTTAGCATGGTAATTACACTAGCCAACTCCAGAGTCATTGAGACTAATGACACAGCTTGCAACTTACAACCTCTGCAAGGCTTTGGGGATGAGCCAGAAAGTCTGAACAGGCAATTCCTTACTCCCTGAAATGTGGATTCCCGTATTTAGAAAACATATTTGTTGAATAAGGAAAAGCAATCTGAGGGGAAAGCACATACAAGAATATGAAGGTAGGAAATGACAGTATTTTCAGGGAGTATTTCACTAATTCACTCATTTCATTTCCTTAGTGCCTTCATTTGCTCAACAAACAAGTACACACCGCATGCCAGGTACCCTGCTGGGTGTTGAGTATAAAACAGTGAGTAAAACAGGGCATCTGACCTGGTGGGGGGAGTTCCACAAAATGTGGGTGCAGCCTACAAATAGAGAATCACTTTACAATGTCGTAAGCACAATGAGCACAGTGATCTAAGCATGTACAGGGCCTTGGAGAACATGGGGTAAAGGATAGAGGCAGGGTAGCTTGTCCAGCCCCAGGTGGGGAGGGAGTAGGGACAGGTGGGCTGAAAGCAGCAGGACTTGGTGCCTGACTGGAAGTGGCAGACAGGTGAGAGAGAGGGAGGGGCAAGGGTAGCTGGGGTCTAGGAGGGCAGTCCCATAAACTTAGGTCCTGAATTCAGGTGGAGTGTGGAGTGGCCTTCGGGGAGCTGGCAATGAGTTGTGTTTGGGGCACAGTGTGTTTGAGATGCCTGAGAGACATCACATCAGAACAGGTCTGATTTTCTTCAGGGCACAGACCATGCCTAACTCATTTCTGAGTCTTTGTGCTGAGTATCTAAGAGGTTCTCATAAACTGCTGAAGGAATAAATAAATGAATGCTAGGCATAAGAAGCACACATGCAAATGTTTATCCTGTATTATATGATTTAATTTACACAGAAACTCTATGAGGAAGATCTATTATTACTCCATTTATTTCATAAATAGGCACAAGCTTTAAAGTCTTACAGTCTAAGACAGGAGCTGTGACAAGTTCACAGATAAAAATGACTCAAAAAAAAAAAAAGAGGCAGAGTACATGAAAATGTGCTCAATATCATTCATCATTGGGGAAATGAAAATTAAAACCACAGTGACATACCATTAGGATTGTTATAATCCAAGGATTGACAGTACTTAGAGTTGGTGGGAATGTAGGTAAACAAAACCTCAAACATTGCGGGTGGGAATATGAAGTGGTACAGCCACGCAGTGCGATGGGTCACCCACCGGGTTACTTGGGGTGTATGTCCTCTGCTTATCTTTAAAGGCTGGGCAGTGAGCCGAGGCCAAGGTGCCTAGCCGAGGAGCAAGTGTCCCTGAGAACCCCAACATCCCAGAAGGTAACTAAGAATATATCAGGGAAAAGAGCCCCATCTCACCCACACAGTAGGCAAAGCACCAGAAAATTAGCTTAAAAGCAGCTTAGGGATGGGAGGCAGAGCTGATCTCTAAAGCTGTCCTGCTGCCATCCAAGAGTACCTCGTATGTAAGTCGTAATAAACTTATTTACTCGTCAAACTGAACTAGTCCGAGTCATTCTTTAATCTCTTGGCTCCCTTTTAGTTTCAGGGAATGTTTTTTAAAATATATAAATCCAGGTTTTTCTCATTATCGCTATGATGGAAAACAGGTTGGCAGTTTCTTCTAAAGTTAAACACGCACTTCCCATATGCCCCAGCAATTCCACTCCTAAATTTCTACCCAAGAGAAGTCAAAACCTGTTTCTGAATGTTCAAAGCAGTATTATTTATAATAGTCAAAAGTTAAAAACAATCCAAGTATCTATCCACTAGTGACTGGATAATCCACAAGTTATATATATATTATAATAGTCAAAAGTTAAAAACAATCCAAGTAGGTATCCACTAGTGACTGGATAATCCACTAGTGACTGTGGCATGCTCATATAATGTAACATTATTTATCAATAAAAAGAAATGAAGTACTGATATGTCCTAAAACCTCAAAAAAAGTATGCTAAGGAAGGAAGACAGGCACAAATGACCTCAAATTGCATGACTTCATTTATATAAAATTCCCCAGAAAAGGCAATGTATGGAGATGAAAAGTAGATTAGTGATTGCTTAGGGTTGGGAAGAGGAGGGAAAGAAAGTGACTGCAAATGGAACTCTGGAGGGTAAAAGAAGTACTCTAAACTGAATTATGGCGATGGTTGCATAAGTATAAATTTTCTAAAACTCATCAAAATTAATACTTTCAATGGTTAAATTTTAACATGTATAAACTATATCTCAATAAAATTTAAAAAATATAAATAGAGCTTGGTGATTTAGAAGAGGGGGTAGTTCCAGGTAGAGAAGCTTCAGAAGGGATCAGATTTGTGCTGGGCCTGGAAAACTAGGTAGGATTTCAACATATTGAAAGGTATAAGAAGGAATTTCAAGCAAAGAAAGAAGAGGCTTAAGCCTGAAAGTAAGAAAGTGCCAGCATGTTTGGGCAATATCCAGACATCCATTTTGTCTGGATATTTGGATGGAGAAAAGTTGATGAAAAGACTGAAAAATGTGGTTGTGACCAGATTAGATCACAGAAGCTGAAAATGATTGGGCAAATGCATTTATGACTTAATTTTGTAGGCAGCAGGGAGCTGCTGAGCATTCCAGAGAGGGCAGTGTCCTGGTAAAGACTGGTGGGGCAACAATGAGGAATATGTATTAGAAAAGCCAGCCACAAAAGCAGAGCATCAAATAAAATCTCACAGAACTGGCAATACTGAGTGATCACTCGCCTGTGTTGATAAAGCAGTAGGACAGAGAGCCTCACTCTACCAGATAGAAAGAAAAATAATAATATGCAGCACTTATTTGGTGCTTCCTGTGACCAAGGCCCTGTTTTAAAGAATCACTGTTCTATAGGAAAGGGTGTTAAGAGCCTGCTATATACAGAATGAGCCAAATGGATTGATGATAATTTTTTTTACTCCAAAGAGAAAGAATAAAGAATAGGGACGTTATAAAATGCCTCACTCGAGGTCAGGAGTTCGAGACCAGTGTGGTCTTGAACAGTGAAACCCCGCCTCTACTAAAAATACAAATATTAACTGGGCATGCTGGTGCACACCTGTAGTCCCAGCTACTTGGGAAGCTGAAGCAGGGCAATCACTTGAACTCAGAAGGCGAAGGTTGCAGTGAGCTGAGATCATGCCATTGCACTCCAGCCTGGGCGACAGAGCGAGACTCCGTCTCAAATAAAAAAAAGGTGATACTTCAAAGGTGGAAGGATGGTAAGTGACACAAATGACAAAGACCAGTTTACACGGCTCTTTGGCCCAAAAACACAAAGAGTACCTGGCACCACTGATGCTCCCTATGGACATCACCACTTCTTTAATGTACATTAACACACATTAAGTAAACATGCATAGGAATGAACAGAGAGAAGTAAATGGGTGAAAAGAAGGTTGTTACACTAGGCTGTTCTGAGGGATCAACTCCTTCCCCAGCTACTGTTGGAATGATACTCTGTACCCTACGTTCTGCATCCCTGAAGCGGGATTATAGTATATTGTCATTCAACACCCCCAAGCCTGGCTCACACTGTACCAGTGTAAAGCAGGAATGTCAGGGTGGCTTTCTGAAGAGAATCCAGCTGTTTGAAAGTCACAAAGTGTTTATAAACATTATTTTTTAAATGAGCTGCTAACACTTAAATATCAGAAAATTTCACATAAAACATGGAAATTTTTAGTTTCTCTTGAAACATTGGGAATTCTAGCACCTATGTGGCGCAATCCCATGTGGTATCAATCGGTCAGGGCTGAGTAGCCCTCATCCTCTTTTAAACATTAGAGTCCCTGGCTGGTACACATCATGCATTTACTAATTCAGAAGTATTTTTTGAGCACCTGCTATGTGCCAAGTGCTGTTGTAGGACCTAGAGACACAGCAATGACAAAACAGAAAAATATGCTTACTCTCCTGGATCTCATATTCTCATGAGGATAGCCAGACAATAACCAAATAAGATAATATGTATTTCTGATTATAAGTAATGAGAAAAACAAAGAAGGTAAGTATGATTTTTAGAGGATGGAGAGGAGCTGAGAATTGTAGACAGAGTGTTCAGGGAAGGGAAGCCTCTATGATTAGGTGATTTCTGATTCAAAGAAAGGGAAATAGCACATCCATCATGTTTTTTATGTGGGAGAAACATATAAGTGAATGAGCATGGGGCAGGGGCATTTCAGGCCTGGCAATGCTTTGGATTTTATTCTGAGTGAGATGGAAAACCATTGGCAGGTTTGAGCAGAAGAGTGATACGGTTGGGCATATTCATTTATGTTGGTGACTAGCCCCTGTAAGCATCTGAATTTTTGGTCCTTGGTTTAAAGCACTATGGGCAGAGGTTAAAGAGTTCTAGCTGGGTTCTGTGTCTAGAGAAGGAAAATGATCAGATAACGGGGCAGAAATTTCCTGATCTTCAGAACATAGTGTTTATGCAGACGAATAGCTCAAAATGTAGCAACGAACTTGAATAACTGGCATCTATGGGCAGAGTTAACACACAATAAAGTCCCTTAGGAAACCAAGCTCACAGGACCCTGAGACTGGGTACCACTTGAATGCAGGCCAGAGGAAAAGGTTCCTAGTGGATATGTATCTGGTATGCTCCAACTTGTTCACTTATGAAAAGCTGCTCTCTCTTCTCTATCTTCAGCAGTGATAGTCCACCTTTACTGGTGTACTCAACTTAGCACTGGTACACTCAACTAGACAAGTCATAAGCCTTATTTTATTTAAACCACTTGAGTTAATTCTCAAGTCCTCCCAACTCGGATAGGAAAAATCTGATCCTTGTACTCCAAAACAAAGCAATGATCAATGCTGGGAGTTCGATGTGATCTGCCCTTCCAGAAAATCCATTGGTAGTTGCTGAAGAGTTTGCAACATTTGACAAGAAGAAATAATCTACTCACGATCAGAACATGATCCCTGCCCATGGTGATGACTGTCCGGTTCACTGTCCGCAGCAGCTGGACCATGATCTCCTGGATGTGGTGATAGGTGAAGGCCTGTAACACAGTCAGAGACATCTGTGTGATAATCAGGACACTGTATCTGCACAACTGGCCAAAGGACACAGACAAGAGTGGTCAGACATGGTGATCTTCAACACCATCACCAACACCACCACTGCCATTGTCATCATCATCGTCGTCATCGTCATATCTCCATCGCCATCACCACCTGCACTGGGCATAAGAAATTCTGCTAGTCACCTTAAATATAAGTTAAGATGGCTTAACTTATACTTTGGAATCAGGAACTTTGGAGCTAGATGACTAACTCTGACAAGAGTTACTACTGCATTGGTTAAGTTATTATATGATTTGAATCTGTGTCCCTGGTAAAATCTCATGTCAAATCATAATCCCCAGTGTTGGAGGTGGGGCCTGGTAGAAGGTGATGGGATCATGGGAGTGGATTCTTATGGTTTAACACCAACCCCCTCGATGCTATCATCATGACAGTGAGTTCTCATGAGGTCTGGTTGTTGAAAACCATGTGGCAACTTCCTCCTTCTTTCTCTTCCTCCAGCTCTGGCCACGTGAAGATGCCTACTTCTGCTTTGCCTTCTACCATGAGTAAAAGTTTCCCAAGACCTCCCCAGAAGCCCCACAGATGCCAGTTATCATGCTTCCTATATAGCTTGTGGAATCATGAGCCAAGTAAACCTTTCTTCTTTATAAATTACCCAGTCTCAGGTATTTCTTTTTAACAATGCAAGAACAGACCAATACAGTTATATTAACTTTTCTAATCCTTGGTTTCTTCATCTGTCTAATAGGATCTAAGCTAGAATAAGGAGGAAATTTAATGCAGGAAATTGGTTATACAGGTAACGGAAATCCCAACACACCAAACAAGGTAACCTAGAGTCAGCAACAGCAGGAAACCACTGTCACCTCAAGGCTAGAAGGACAAATTGAGGAGGCAGTGTTTCTGAAGCCCCAGGAATGGGGTTATAAAATAGAAACTAGGGTTATATAATGGTAACCACACAGTTCTTGTATACTAGAAGTCACATTATCTACCTCGGGTGGAAATTTACAGTGAGGTTGTGACAGGTATTGGGTTGTGCCCACTTTAAATACAGGTCCCTAAACTTTCTGTAGGGTTTGCTGATCCTTTTTGAGCTTTTGCTGTAGTCAGCAAGGGTTTCAAGCATATTCACCTATATCTTGGATCTTTTCACCAGCATAGCATTTAGGCACAGAGTTGCATACCATGCATACACGAGGATGGCCATGGCCAAGTGGAAAGGCCTTGGGATCTTAAGTTCAGAAGCTCTGGGTCTGAGGTTCAATGTTGTACTTGCCAGCTGTGCAACCTCACTTATCACTTAACTTCTCTGAGCCTCAATTATCTCATCTACAAAAATGTAGAATGTTATCTCAAGGTTGATGTGGACATAAAAATGACATGTGTAATTCTGGAAAAACATATGCCCGGGTCCTCTGCTGGAGGTGCTGTAGTCTGAGACAGAGCCTGGCCATCAGCAATTTCTGAATTTTAGGTTTGTTATTCTGACGGTTGAGAACCATGATATGACATGCCGTTTAGCTCTGGAGATGGGGGCTTGGGAACAGCCTTGTGTCTCCAGGACCTAGCCAGAGCCTGACATAAAGAAAGTGCTAAATCGATGGTGGCTGAAAACATGGATGACCACTTATGCTCATTTACAAGAACATCAGCAAGCTTTACTGCATTAAACTTAAGTGTGGTTTTGTCCCTTAATGTGAGGAATTGCAGGGAGTTGGTTATACAGTGAAAGGGAAGTAGATTTGCAGTTGGGGTAGAGCCAGAAAAAGAAAGGAAATGTGCTTATTAAAAAATGTCCTCCCCTCCCAATGACTTTCAGTGACTTTTGGCATCCAAAGATGAATAATCCAGAACTTTCTCTTTCTACCTCAGACTCACTTATTTGTCACTTTGGCTACTGCCAGACTCTCTAGCCCTGTAAAGCCACAAACAGGACCTCTGCCATGGAGCTTTTGTTAGAGTATTTTACAGAAACAGGTTCCCTTGCTTCATCAAGCGCAGCCAGACCTCAGTCTCTGCTGGAGACTGACTGCTCTCCCCCTATTAAGCGGCTCTTTCTACTCCTGAGGCTCAAGGGCAGGGAAGACAGATCTCCTCATATTTCTGGCCCAAAGGTGAACCTCTCTTCTGATTTCCTTCTCCTTTATTTCTCCAAGCCATGGTTTAACAGCATCACCCCTGATTTATAATCTCCTATTTCTTATATTATGTGAACATGATGTTCATGGTTATAACAACAACCACAGCTGACAGTCTTTAGTGCTTCCTAAATGCCCGGCACTCTGCTAAACACTTTACCTCCTCTCACATCAAGATAAGCAACATTACTCTCTCCATTGTTCAGATGAAGAAACTGAAGCCAGAGTGGTTAAGTAACTTGTCTAGGGTCATCCAGTGAGGAAGTAAGGGAGAAAGGATTGAACCCAGCAGCCCGTCTCCAGAGTATTCTCCTTACCCAAACTTACCCAGGCAGACTGGAACACAATGATAGATTTCTCTTGGCTACTTGGAGGTTTCATCCTCCTCCTTCCATCTCAAGATGGATAGACCCTGCCTTTGATTGGATCAACTTCGAACTCCTTCAGTGACTTTTGATCTTTTCTCTGCCTTTTATAAAATCTTCAATGCTATGTATTCCTACTCCCTTATCTTCTCTGCATTCCTTTGCAAATTCATCAAATTTATATAATGGTTTTCATTTTGATGCTATTTTTTTCCAGGATTACATCTCTTCCCTTGTGAATAGAGATATGAAAACCCCCTTTCTTGACCTCCTGCTCCTTGCTTCTTTTAAATAGACATTCTTCTTAGTCCAAAGAGCAGCAATTAGACTGCTCAGGAAGTTTGGTATTTAAAAGTAGAAAACTGTCAAATTCAATTCATTTCACTCTGAAAGATCCCAGTATTGGGAGGTTGTATAGCAGAATATTTTGAGATTAGAGATACTTGAGTTTGAATCCCAATTCTGCTCATTTGAGCTGGGTGACCTTGGGCAAATTGCTTTTCCTGTCTGAGTTTCTGTTTCTTTGTTTATAATATGTGGCAAATAATAGTAACTTCAAGATTACTGGTTTAAGGAATAAATAAGGTAATGCAGGTAAAGCCCTCGATACCGGGGGTTGGAATACAGCAAGCTCTCAGTAAGTGGTGGCTGCAACTCACATTCCCTTTGGTTTGCACCCACACTCTGGCTGGGCTTGCAGATTCCCAGCACGTAGCAGAAAGTGCTGTACAAGGCAATGTATAATCTAAACTTTGGGTGATATCGAAATGTCACCCAAAAAATGTATAGCATATATGCAAATGGAAAACTTTCAAGATGATAAACCTGTGCTAAGCAGTAAAAGTGCAGCCACAAATCACCCACTGTTAATTGCTCCAGTGCCAGGCAAGTGGAGGGAGACTCTAGGAAAGTATCTTCCAGGCTCAAACTAAACGGTGGCTTGTAATTGAAATGACAAAATCAGTCTTCCCATTATGGCCTTGGCAAAGAAATTAATCCATCCAACCTTAACACACTGCAAATTGTAGTGATTTTTTTCTTTTAATAATTATAGGCTATGGTATCTGGAAGGGACTTTAAATGAAGTCTTATGCAGAGCCCACTACGTAACACAGCAGAAGGTGAGCTGGGAGTGGATGGGGACCAGGCAAGGTTGGGGGCTAAGGAAGCTAAGCACTATCTTCTTGACTCACTCTTGGCCCTAGGCCAGTCCTAGGACTTTGCAGAATGCAATACAAAACTACTGACCTCCTGCTGCAGTTCTAGAATAACAGAGCACACCAAATATGAGAATATTTTAAGTAACAATGGACACAGCATTTCATAACACTAAACCAAATTACATGAAAAATTCGGCATTTTTTCATTTTTCTTTCAACACTTCTCATGATACCAAGTAGAAAAATCTCCTTTTTGTGATTATATTTTTTAACACCTCTTTAGTTCTTGTAAAGCCCCTTTTCTAACAAAGAGAAAAGTCTTTGGAGGCAGACTTTGGAGGAAGGTCAGAGCAGGCAGCAAAGAGTACCTACTAGGACTTAATAACATTGTTTTGTTTTATTGTGTTTATTTTCTGAAGTTGGTTGTACTTACGGCAAGTGTGCAAGAAAAAGCTCCAAAACTTGGAAATAAAGCAAAATTAGGATTGCATGATTTTTTTAATAGAACATTTGGAAAAACCCCACCGAAGTTCCTTTTACCCTCTCTGGAATATAACTTTGTTTGATTAACCATCCACAACTGAATAGAAACTAGAAATTTTATAACCTTACAGAGTTAGTAGTTAACTTGCAGAAAAATGATTAAATGTAATGTTTGTGGCTTTGCTAAAACTCAGTTTTATTGCTCTGTAGAAAATTTACCTGTTTTATACCTAATGACAATTTTATACAAACGTCGCTCACAAAAAAATCAAGAAACATGAATACTTTTAAACTAGGTTTTTGTTGTTCAGCTTGTTCCCTGGTTTATCAGTTAAATAAAACTTTGATGTGCTCAGTGTCTACTTACACTGGATGATATTTTTAATAATTTGAGAAATCTACTTTTACACAAATGATGCTACTTACAGTTTTGGTATAAAACTTTATTTTTATCAAAGTTATAAATGTATATAGTTCTAAAAATTCTCCAAGCTTCATTTAAAAACAAAACAGGCAGGGCACAGTGGCTCATGCCTATAATCCCAGTACTTTGGGAGACCAAGGCGGGAAAATTCCTTGAGCCCAGGAGTTCAAGACCAGCCTGGGCAATACGGCGAAATCCCATCTCTACTAAGCATATAAAAAACTAGCCTGGCATGGCGATGCATGCTTATAGTCCCAGCTACCGGGGAGGCTGAGGCAGGCTTGTACCCAGGAAGCTGAGGCTGCAGTGAGCTGTGATCATAGCACTGCACTCCAGGCTGGGCAACAGGGAGTGAGACCCTGTCTCAAAAAAAGAGAAAAACATCAAACCCCAAAACAA